CGTCGTGGTCGTCGTCGTCGTCGTCGGCTGCGTCGTCGTCGTCGTCGTCGTCGTCGGCGTCGGCGGCGTCGTCGTCGTCGTCGTCGTCGGCGTCGTCGGCGTCGTCGGTGTCGTCGGTGTCGTCGGTGTCGTCGGTGTCGTCGTTGTCGGCGTCATCGTGGTGGTGGTGGTGGTGGTCGTCGTCGTCGTTCGAGGATCGAAGGGCCGAGGATCGAGGGCGAGGACGTCGAGGCTTGTGAAGGTCGCACTTCTTGTGGGCCTCCGCGAGCCTCAGGAGGTCGTCGCCCTGGGGGCTCGAGGCCTCGAGCAGCCTCGAGGCTTTTGAATGTCGCACTTACTGGGGGCTTCCAGGAGCCTCGAGGCTTTTGAACGTCGCCCCTTTTGGGGGCCTCCAGGGGCTCCCGGGAACCTCTGGAGACCTCCAGACGTCGTCGGTCGTCGGTCGGTCGGTCGGTCGGCATCGTCGTCGTCGGTCGGTCCATTTGTCGGTCGGTCGGTCGGTCGGTCGTGGTGGTCGTTGGACGTCGGTGGCGGCGGTCTGCCACATGCGACGGGTGCTCGGGCGCCTGCTTGGCGGGATGGTGCCGTCGGCAGTGGTGGGCCGCGCCTCTGCCCGACGATCGTTTTCTCCGGACGGGGCTCGACAGCTGCTTCTCCCCTGTGGAGGGTGGGGCGCTCGGGGGAAAAAGTGTGTGTACACCTGGGACCTCCACGCGTGGGGGGGCCAATCGGTTCCAGCCCCGGGCAGACCGGTGCGGCCAGGTTGCGGCCCAGGGCTGAGCACGCCTCGTCATCGGCCGACGACGCACCTCCACCTGAACAACGCGCATAAAAGGAAAGGCTGCATAAACATAAACTTTTGGCGCTCCGCGCGGACTTCTTGGATCTGCGCTGGACCCCCCTCCCTAGCGCGCCGAGCGCAGGGCGGCGCCGGAGGCGCCGCCGAGGGGGCCCAGCGAGGATCCAAGAAATCCGCGCGGAGCGCCAAAAGTTTATGTTTATGGTGTTTTGTTCGTCTTTGAGCGCAATTGCCCCCCTCACAACCTCCCGCCCCGAGGCCCCATTCGAGGAGGCCACCAGGCTGGATCTCGTCAGCCGCATCGGCACCATGTAGGCTCAGGCGGCCCCAGCCGCGCTCCAGGCCACCCTCGCTTGGCGCGCCCGGGCCTCTGCGAACGGCCCGGGCTTGGTCGGCGAACCGCACCTCGATCCCGACTGCTACACGGCGGAGCGGGCTCAGCAGCTTCCTCTTGGGCGTCCCCGCCACCTGGGCAGCTCCTGCTTCGCGTGCGGCGCTGGCTGAGGAGCCCAGCTCTCAGAAGCGAGGCCCCTCCTGGACCTGCCCCAGCCGCCGCCGGCAAAAATGCTCAGCCTAGAAGCGCGCTGCTGGGCGCGCATGGGGAGGCACCCCGCTGTCCCCCCCCCCGCCCAGCGAGTGGAAGGAGGCCCTCCCCGGTGCACGGTGGGGGGCCGCTTGTTTCTGGTAGGGGCCGCTGTCATCATCCACTGCTCTGGGCGTCTTGGTGCGACCTCGCACCCTGCAGCGCCCCCTTCTGCTCGTCTGCTGCCATGGGCGCTGCCTTCCGCGCCGCTCGTCCCCATGGTGCCCTGCGGTGCCTCCGTGTCCTCCCTCCGCCGCGCCTCGGCTTCTCCTCGGCTTCTCCTCGGCTGCGCCCTCTTGGGCCGGGCTCCTTGCTCTCCATCCCGCCGTGTCTCACGGCAGCGCGGATCGGCTCGGCAAGCCGCCAGCGCGCGCCTCTCCGGCGGCCCTGGGTCGGTCTGCTGCCTTCGCTGCCACTGCGCCGCCCTGCTTGCACCTCGCCCTGGCTTCCAGCCGCACTGCGGACCCTCTTGTTTGAAGAGGCCCCAGGACACACAAATAAATACACACAAATAAAACTATTCCCCATATTTTCCCATATTTTCTGGGTTTTTGTCTTCCCCCCCACTTCCCATATTTTCTGGGAATCGACGATTAATTGTGTCTGTGTGTTTTTTCCCCTCCTGATTGTTGCCTCGGGCTCCCCCGCGCCCACTGCACCCTCGCGGCCCACGCCTGGGCGTGCAAATTGGCATGGCCGACCCCTCTGCTGAGGGGCCGGCCGCGCGCGCGTTCTGCTCGCCTGGGGGCTTTCTCCGCCTCGTCGCTGCGCGCGAGGCCGCGCCCGCAACAAAATTATCCTGGCGAAGGACCCGGCCATATGCAGTTGTGGGTACCGCAATTGTGAAAATCTTCTTCGATGAAACTCCCTATGGGGCCACGAAGCGCTGCACTGGGTGGGGGGGAACGCTGTTCTGGGTGAGTGGTGTGTCAAGTAAAATTTCCGGGACACATGCGGACGGTCCCACTGGGGGCTTCAGTGGAGCTCCTTATGGGGCCACGAAACGCTGTACTGGGTGGGTGAAAATGCCAAATTGGGCTTCCGGGACGCATGCGTACGGTCCCACTGGGGGCTTCGGTGGAGCTCACTAAGGGGCCACGGAACGCTCGCTGTATTGGGTGGGTAAAAATGCCACGTTGGGTTTTCGGGGCGCATGCGGACGGTGGCACTGGGGCCTTCGGTGGAGTTCCCTACGGGGCCACGAAATTCTGGACTGGGTGGGTGGAAATGCTACAATGGGTGTTTCGGGACGCTTGCGGATGGTCCCACTGGGGCCTTCGGTGGAGCTCCCTGTGGGGCCACGAAGCGCTGCACTGGGTGGGTGAAAATGCCACATTGGGTGTGCGGGACGCATGCGGACGGTGGCACTGGGGCCTTCGGTGGAGCTCCCTGTGGGGCCACGAAACGCTGTAATGGGTGGGTGAAAATGCAAAATTGGGTGTTTCAAGGCGCATGTGGACGGTAGCACTGTGACCTTCGGTGGGGCTCCCTGTGGGGCCACGAAACGCTGTACTGAGTGGGGGGGACGCATGTGGACGGTGGCACTGGGGCCTTCGGTGGAGCTCCCTATGGGGCCACGAAACGCTGTACTGAGTGGGGGGGACGCATGTGGACGGTGGCACTGGGCCTTCGGTGGAGCTCCCTATGGGGCCACGAAACGCTGTACTGAGTGGGGGGGACGCATGTGGACGGTGGCACTGGGGCCTTCGGTGGAGCTCCCTATGGGGCCACGAAGCGCTGTACTGAGTGGGGGGGACGCATGTGGACGGTGGCACTGGGGCCTTCGGTGGAGCTCCCTATGGGGCCACGAAGCGCTGTACTGAGTGGGGGGGACGCATGTGGACGGTGGCACTGGGGGTGGAGCTCCCTTGGCCACGGTGAGACGCATGTGGACGGTGGCACTGGGGCCTTCGGTGGAGCTCCTTATGGGTCGACGAAACGCTGTACTGAGTGGGGGGGACATGTGGACGGTGGCACTGGGGCCTTCGGTGGAGCTCCCTCTGAGGCCACGAAACGCTGCACTGAGTGGGGGGGACGCATGTGGACGGTGGCACTGGGGCCTTCGGTGGAGCTCCTATGGGGCCACGAAACGCTGTCTGAGTGGGGGGGGCGCATGTGGACGGTGGCACTGGGGCCTTCGGTGGCTCCCCATGGGCCACGAAGCGCTACTGAGTGGGGGGGACGCATATGGACGGTGGCACTGGGGCCTTCGGTGGAGCTCCCTATGGGGTCACGCAACGCTGTACTGAGTGGGGGGGGACGCATGTGGACGGTGGCACTGGGGCCTTCGGTGGAGCTCCCTATGGGGCCACGAAGCGCTGTACTGAGTGTGGGGGACGCATGTGGACGGTGGCACTGGGGCCTTCGGTGGAGCTCCCTATGGGGCCACGAAGCGTGCGAGGGGTGATAGTGGTGATGACGGCGATGATGATGACGATGATGGTGATGAGGACGGCATGATAATGATGATGATGATGATGATGATGATGATGATGATGATGATGATGATGATGATGATGATGATGATGATGATGATGATGATGCTGATGATGATGATGATGATGATGATGATGCTGATGCTGCTGATGATGATGATGCTGATGATGATGATGATGGAGATGATGATGATGATGATGATGCTGATGATGCTGCTGCTGATGATGATGATGATGATGATGATGATGATGATGATGATGATGATGATGATGATGATGATGATGATGATGATGATGATGATGAGGAGGGGGGAGGGGGCAGCGGGAGGAGGAGGTGACGCGGGGCGCTGTCTCTTCAAATCGAGGACCCAACACCACAGGATGGTTGGGAACAAAGTAAGTGTAAGTGTGTGTGTGTGTGTGTGTGTGTGTGTGCGTGTCTGTTTGTTTGGATTTTCCCTATGCCGGCGCTGCTCCACCCCTCCGGCGCTGCCCCCCTGCAGCCGCCGACAGCTCTGAGTGGCCCGGCTCCCTCTCCCCCCGTCGCGCTGGGGCTCCTCCTCCCCCTCCCTTACATCGCGGCCTCGATCTGCATACAGCGTGTCCCCTGTCGCCACCCCGCCTGAGCAGCCGACCTCTGCCCAGCCGCCGACGCAACAAGTGTGTCTCTGTGCGTGTGCGTGTGGGTCCCCGCCCAGTCGCTTCGCCCGCCGTTCTCGCTCCGGCTTGCTCCTCCTCCTCCTCCTCCTCCTCCTCCTCCTCCTCGTCCAACTTTTCCGCGCCGGTCCGAGCTCCCTGCGGGCTGGTCTCCACGCGTGCGAGCCCCGCGAGCCCCCGGTCTCCGCCAGCTGGTGTCGCCGGCGCGTCGGGGGAGGAAAGGCGAGCGGTTGGTGCGTGTGCGTGTGCGTGTCTGTGTGTGTGCGTGTGCGTGCGCGTGTGCGTGTGTGTGTGTGTGTGTGTGTCGTCCTGGGGGCGCCTCCTCCCCCCTTGCGCGGGGGAGGTGGGCCAGGAAGAGGGGGGGGTAGCGCATCATGGCCGAAGAAGAAACATAGTAACAAACATAAGCATACTAAAAAGAGGAGGGGCCATGGCCTCTGGTAGATTTCGTGGCCCCGGCCATGACATCTGCCCCCCACCAGTCCTTAACTTCCTCTTGGACGCCCCCGACCCCTCTCCTCTCCCCCTTCGGGGTGGCGACCTCCCTGAGGGTGGATGACGAGGGTCGCCCTGGATCGCAGACCGGGTCCCCTGGCAACTCGAGGCAGATCACGACGGGGCGGCGGCGGCGGCGGCGAGGACGGCGATTTGGCGTTTGCCTCGCGCTTTCGGCCATGGCAAGCACGGGCTCGGACAAACGCGCGGTGCTGGGCCCACTGCGGCCGTCCTAAGGCGAGGAGGTGGAGGAGGAGGCGCAAAGAGAATGAAAGGACGAGAGGGAGACGACGTATCTGGAGGAGGAGGAGGAGGAGGAGAAGGACGAGGAGGAAGAAGAGGGTCAGGAGGAGGAGGACGAGAGGGAGGAGGGAGAGGAGGATAGAGGATGGAGGAGGTGGGGGCGAGGAGGACGGAGGAGGATAAAAGGGGGGAGGAGGATGACGACGAGTGGATGATGATGCTGATGATGATGCTGATGACGATGATGATGATGATGATGCTGATGCTGATGATGATGATGATGATGCTGATCATGATGATGCTGCTGCTGATGATGTTGATGATGCTGATGGTGACGATTATGATGATGATGATGATGATGATGATGATGATGATGATGATGATGATGATGATGCTGATCATGATGATTATCATGATCATGATAGTGATGTTGATGATTCTGATGCTGATGACGAGGATAATGATGATGTTTCGGCTGACGAGGATGATGGTGGTGATGCTGATGGTGGTGGCGATGATCACGATGAGGATGACGACGACAATGACGCTGATGATGCTGATGATGGTGATGATGATGGCGATGGTGATTATGACTACGAGGTTGGTGAAGATGATGCTGCTGCTGATGACAATGATGATGAGGATAAGGATGATGATTATGATGCTGCTGATGGTGATTGCGATACTTATGATGCTGATGATGGTGATGATGATGGTGATGCTGATGATGATAGTGATGATGATGATGATGATGACGATGATGATGATGATGATGATGATGATGATGATGATGATGATGATGATACGGATGATGGTGATGATGCTGATGGTGGTGGTGGTGATGATCACGACGATGATGACGATGATGATGATGATGATGATGATGATGATGATGGTGGTGGTGGTGGTGGTGGTGATGCCGATCGTAAGGATGAATATTACGACGGTGACGAATGAGGATGGTGATGACGAGGAGGAGGCGCAGGATGAGGCGAAGGATGGTGATTTAACAATTGAGTGCAAAATGGGATGAGGAGGATGAGGAGGGACCACGCTTCATTGCCTGTGAGAGGTCCCCCTCAATCTATTGGGCAGTCCGCCAAACGCGTCGTGCCCCCGAATTCCCTCGCTCAGCGTGCAAGAGCAACTCGTGAACATCCAGAACAGACAGAACTCACGGCGATGTCTGAGACCCGGCTTTCTCCTCCTCCTCGCTCCCTCCTCCTCCCTCTCTTCTCCTCCTGCTGCTTGTCCTCATTCTCCTCCGTCCTCAATTTCTGCCTCCTTCGATCTCTCATCTCATTCTACCTGCTCTTCCCGCCGCAGCGCGGGTACATTCGTCTGAAAGGCTTCCGATAATTATGCGGAAAGAAGGATTCTACTTTTCAATGTGGGCTCGCGATTGGGACTTCGTCATTTCACGGCCAGAAAGAAACACACCAGCTACACAAACAGGGACCTCGCCGGAGACTGCGCACAATGTCATGAAACTAACCTGAAAACAACGCGGTACTTACACGTACAGAAGACGGCCACTTTTTGAAACGTGGCTCTGGCTGGAGCGGTTCATGAACTTTCTGATGCTACATCTTTCGGCCCAGTATGGCTAGAAGGATGGAAGGCGGATCCTTTTCAAGCGGGACGATTTGCTTCCATGCCTTGGCGCCGCGCATATCCGTGTTAAACTTCTCACAAGCGTTGCAAGGATAAAAGGCGGGTCGTTTTCAACATGTGGCTCTTGCCTTCAGCGCCGCGCACATTCGTTTGAACAACCTGTAACATGTTCAGGGGTTTGTCGGGTTGACACCCAAAGAACGGTTCCTGGCACGATTGAGGACTGTCAGGACGCAATGGTCACATGGATTTGTGGCGTTGAAATCCCGGGAACGGTGTTCTGGCAAGATTTGGGGTTGCCGTGGCGCAACAGCCATGTCCATTGTCAGTGTTGAATTCAGAGGGATGGTGATTTGGTGCGATTTAGGATTGTCAGGGCGCAGTCCGGAGTCAGGTTGATTCGGGGCGATGAAGTCCCAATGGCGCTGTTTGGGCACAGTGGAAGGTTTTCGGGCGGTTGTCTTTCAATGGGGCGCTTCCCGCAAGCAGAATCAGTTCTTGTAGGGACCTATGAAGAGAGACCTTGGACGAAGGGTTTATTGTGACATCGTTGATGCGTCTAGGGTTTGCGCAGGCTCTCTTCCTCCTCCTCCTCCTCCTCCTCCTCCTCCTCCTCCTCCTCCTCCTCCTCCCCCCCAGCCCCCAGAGGGGGCGTGGGGCGTGGGGGGCCTCACTATTTCCTCCTCGCCCTCCTCCTTTTCCTCCTCCTCCTCCTGCTCCTCGCTCCACCTCCTCCTCGCACCTCCTCCTTCGGCTCCTCCTCTTCCTCCTCCCCCTCTTCCTCCTTCTTCTCCTCCTCTTGCTACTAAGACGCCCACTCGCGGCACCAGTCTCAACGTCGCTTATCGAGGGGTGCTGGGCAACCCTACACTTTTATAGCTCAGCAACCCAGAAAAATCAGCCTCGAGGAGAGCCCCACAAAAAGGCCACGCACGCCCGAGGGCGGCACGCCTCCAGAGCACGGCCAGGAAGAGACAGGGATCAGGCGCGAAGGCCCCAACTCCCTAATCCCGACCCAGCGGGGGCCTCCCAAGGCTCCAGGCCCGAATTTGGTCCTCTTCCGAAAGGCCGAACCCCCCTTTGCCCAAGAGCAGCTTGGGCATCTTCCCGTCGGCACCCTGCCCACCTTCCTGACTCGTCCCCAGGCTCGCATGATTATCGTCATCACGTGCATGAGGCTCATCTGCTTGAGGCCTGCTCCAGCGCTGGCCTTTCGGGGGGGCTCCTTCGCAACTGGTGTTCGTGCACCTCGGGCTCTGCCACGACCTTTTCTTCCCGCGCCAACTCTGGCGCCTCGTTGAGCTTCGGGGCCAGCTGCCCCGTCGTGGCGACTGCTGCGTCTCTGCGCAAGTCCATTGCCAGCCTCGCCTTCTAGGCCCCGAACGTGGGGCTGAACGTGAAGTCTGTGAGCCACTCCGACGCGTCCTCGCTCGTGCCTTTGCTCAAAATTTGATGGGCTCGAGCTGGCAATCCTCTGGATCTGCGCATCTGCTGGGACGCGTCCTGATTCAACCAATCTTCGTTATATGTCCGAGCCCTGGACAACGGCTGCAACTCCGGTGGCCCGCACGTATGCTTAGACCCCTTCTCCTTGACCGTCTTCAGGTAAGTGTCGTACTTCGCTTTGCAAATCGCCGCGTATGAGCGACCCGCTGGCGTGAACACCTGCGTCTGGGCTCCGTTCTCCAACGTTCGAATCCTTGAGCCGAGCTAGGCTGCCCTTTTCTTCATGGCCGCCTACTCGCTGTCCTGGCTCTTTTGTTTCGTCTGCTTGGTGGCGTCTCCATCGCCCCCTGTTCGCTCGCCACTAATCCAGGACGTCGAGCTCAATCTGATGATCAATAAGGTACTCTGCCAGGTGAGTGCCGAGAATGTGCTGCTTCAGCACCCGGTGCCTCTCGATTTGATAGTCGCGCAGCGGGCGGCGCGCAGTTGCTGTGCAGATCTTAGCGCTCAAGCGAATGCGGTCCACGAGCAACCCTCGATCGCACGCCCTACTCATCTGCTTCTGCGCCTGCGCGCGCGTCGAGAAAACTGCGCCGCATATCGTGCGTTGGTTGCCCGCGCAACATGCTCTTTACACTGCTCGCCTACCGTGAGTTCCACCTTCCATGTGCGCGTGGCGTGCTGCGTGGCGAACTCTACCCGGGAACGCAGCTTGACATCTGACACCCTGTTCGCCCACGGCCCGACATTTGTGGGCCCCTCCAACTCCTTACTCCATACTGGCGGGCTCGAAACTTGCTCGGTCGTGAACAGAATGTGCGCGCGTGCCCGAGATCGAGATCGACGAACTCCACTCGGCCCTCCAGGCTGGCCCTGAACGGCTCGTGGTCGTATCTGTCCGAGACGACCTCGCCATCATCATGGGCGCGTGCGGCTAGAACGCCTTGGGGCCACTGGCAGGCCCGCGGGTTGCGGGTCTCCCTAGTCGAATCGTCTACGCCGCCGCGCCAAATACCGCCCTTCCTCGTTGAACCAGACGCTCGCGTCGGCCCATCCATCGTCGCAGACGTCTCGATCCAAATCAAAACCGCACAAATGACATATCCCCTTATGCGGCGGAATTCCACATCATCGATGCATTCGAAATCCAAACCTTCCACATTGCACCCCGCGCTGCTTTCCCTGCAAGCAGTCGGGGGCTTGTCTCCGCGCCAATGGCGAAACGAGCTGTCGACCTCACTCCCGAATGACTCGCGACTGTCGCTGAGTTCCCCTGCGAAGTACCATCGCCGAGAATCTCTCGTTCCAATGGGGCTGCTCCTTTGCCGCGCGCGGAACGGTCTCCTGCTTTGAAGTGTTCTGACCGAGCCCTATATCTTCCAGCGTTCCGTCCGCGCGCCGCCCCGCTCTGCATGGCCTCCTGCTTGTTGCTATGCTGAAGCATGTCGGCGACGTCGTCAACAAGGGGCGCGTGTGCTGCCGGTGCCTTTTCCCCCGTCCGAGGAGGCTGCGCCTTCGCCAGCGTCCGATCCTGTAAGGCAAATTGTCCGAACCTCTCGCGTGGGCCATGGCGAAGAGGGGCGACGTGCACGAGTCGCCAGGAATGCGCCTTCCCTGCGTCGGCAACGACTTCTCGGATAAATTCGCGAAGCAAAAATGCGCCCATTAAATTCCGACTGGCGTTCGACGTGAGTGGCAATGAGCTGATTGATGTTGGCCGAGCCAATCGATAAAAATGCGCTCGTCACATCGTGGAGACGACGTGCGCGTGAGATTCCCATTCTTCTTAGCCGCCAGGTGCTGCGCGCCTGGGCTGCGATGACTCCCCCTCGCGCCCGCGGTGCCTCGATGCCCCGTGCGCCCAGCTCGGTGCGTTCTCCGTCGAGGCCTCCCCTCTGGCCATCGACCCCCTCTTTCTCGTTGCCTTTGCCGATCTGTGCTGCCCGCGCTCTCAGCCGCAGCAGCGGGGGTCTCCGAGTTCTCATCGTAGCCCCCGCTGGCGTTCTGATAACAGAAACATGGGGCGCAAGGCTCCTCGCCCCATCGACCTCCGATGCGCGCCCGAGGCCCTGCTTGCGATTCATCGCGCGCTTCGCGGTCCACTTGGGGGGCGTCGCGCATCTGAGCAGCTCCGCGCTCGAGCTCCGCGCTGGCGACGGTCTCCAGAGCTTGGCCTCCCAGGCCGCCGACCGAAATCCTTGGACCTCCTTATTCGCCTCTCCATCCGCGACCTTCGCTCGAACTGCTGGAGTGCGCTCCTGTTGTCATTCGGCCTATCGAATCGCGCGTGCGAAGCGTCCGCCTCGGGTGCCTGCTCGCTTCGTCTTGCCAGTCGCATTCTCGACCGCTCCTGGGAACTGATGTCGACCAGATATCCGCTTGCGCACACCTCTTGTTCTCTGCGCCATCAACCTTGCCACCTTGTGCGCTGTGTGCGTGTCGTTTCCTTTCGCTGCTCTCATGACCTCGTCGAATCACAACTCTGTCAGCTCTCGCCAATGCTTTCCCCGTCTTTGTGTCAGCCACCTGCTTAAATCGGAACCTGACTTGCCCGCGTGCTGCAATCCTTTGAATCTGCAGCTGTGGGATATCCTGGTCAACCAAGTCTCGATATCTGCCAGAACAAGAAATATTGCAACTCTGGTGGCTACTCGGTAGTTCCCCTATCTCCGTGTCTACCTTAACCTCGTCGTTTGCGTGCTCATCCGCAATTTCTCTGGGGAGTTCGACGACCTTGACTATCTCTGCGTACTCTTCGGCATAGTGGGTAAACTGCTCTCAATGTTGACGCCGCTGCCGAAATAGGTCTTGTATGTCCCTCGCATGTTTTCGAGGCATCCCGTGCGCCCCTGACTCTCAGAACGCCAAACTTTTGCTGAATCCTGAATCGCATCGTGGAACGCACCGTTCACGAAGCCGGGCACCTCTCCCCACCCTCTGTCACGAAGAAGCTGCTTTTGCTGCTGGGAATTTTCCTCGACCTGCTTCACAACACCTGCTCTGTTCTTGCACAACTGCAACACTCGTGCCGCTGCAATTTTGTCCATCGGTGGCGGCCTTCTCATGTCAGCGTACGGCCCGCTCACCACTTCTAAATCAAAGCATTCCACCGCTGGTGCATGCTCGCAGAGATTTTGAGAAGCCGCCACCTGCAATCCCCACGCAGTCGACGCGAAAGTTCTGCACCACATCGTAGCTTTGTACCACTCTCAAAGAATTCGTATGTAGTCCAGCATCTTGTGAACTCTATTGTTGAAATATGTCGGCCTAGCCTTCTTGTGGGACATGTTGAATGCAAGCAACTGGTGTGCTCTCAATCAACACGGGTGCGAACAACTCGCTTGTGAAGTGGAACTCGCCTAGGTGATACTCGCCCGCTACCCCCTCCACGTTCGGGAATTGAGCAGTCCATGAACAATAGCGGATACCATCGTGCACTCTGTGCTGGCAATACTGCATACAGCCACTTCGCACTCGCCTTGACTGTCCTGTGCCACTTCGCCTTCGCCTCTCGACCTCTGTTGGGCAAATCATGATGTGTAACAACACAATCACCATCCGAAGAGAACCTCTTTCTACTTTGCCTGCGCCCACTCGTCCTCATATTTTCTGGCACTGGCACGAAACCTCGAATGCGCGATCTGGGACGTTCCAGGAAAGGAACCACGCTGATCGCCTACACGACTTCTTCACATGAGGCCCTGCCACCCATCCCCAATCAACAAAAGAATATGATCCTGCTCTCCCGACTGCAGTGATGAACTCGGTGCCTGCTGCCGTCTGGTGAGTACCCACCAGCGCGATGATGTCGAGATTCCCGAGCTCGTCGATGACATCCTGGGCGGGCCGTCGGTTGGCGCCGAGAGGATTGAAAAACCCTAGAGCAACGCCGCTGCGGGCCGCCGGAACCACATCTCTGGTTCTGTCATTGTCATCGGGCAAGAAACCTGACATCCGCAGAAGGTGGCGCGGCGCCCCCCGCCCCCCAATGTGAGAAGATGCAACCTTTCCTCCTCCTCCTCCTCCTTTTCCTCCTCCTCCTCCTTCTCCTCCTCCCTTGTCGCTGTGGCTCTCACGCCACCCCCGACCGGCGCGCGAAGCCAACGGCCGCCCCTCTACCGCGCTAGTCCCACGAGGCCTCGGCGAGGCGGGCCGCCCGGAAGTCGGTGATGACGCCCTCTCCCGGGGAAACTCGGCTCGGACGAAGAGGGCGGGCGGGGGTGGGACGGTCAAGGGTTATGTTGTTCCCATCGTACTTAGGACTACATCGCACAGTAATTTCGAGCTCCCAGAAACGCATCGAAGCGGTGTCTGCCCGACGCGCCAGCGAAGTGCCGAACGAGTATCGCCTCCCAGGGCCCGACGCGTGAAAGCCATCCAGTTTGGGTACTTTTTTCGTGTTCGAAAGCCGTTCTGGTGATCAAGGCTAAAACAAGTTGGAACTGCACGGTTTCCTCAGGGGCCGTAGGGGACCGGAGGAGGAGGAGGAGGAGGAGGAGGAAGAGGAGGAGGAGGAGGAGGAGGAGGAGGAGGAGGACGAGGAAAAGGAGGAGGAGGAGGAGGAGGAGGAGGAGGAGGAGGAGGAGGAGGAGGAGGGAGGAGGATGAGGATGAGGAAAAAGGAGGAGGAGGGAGGAGGGAGGAGGGAGGATGGAGGATGAGGAGGAGGAGGAGGAGGAGGAGGAGGAGGAGGAGGAGGAGGAGGAGGAGGAGGAGGAGGAGGAGGAGGAGGAGGAGGAGGAGAAGGAGGAGGAGGAGGAGGAGGAGGAGGAGGAGGAGGAGGAGGAGCAGGGCGGGTCGCCAAAGCCCTTCGGAGAAACCCTCCAGTTGGAACATCATAAATCAAAGGCATGGCGTCCGCCGACCGGGGTCACGGCGCCAACGCCGCTCCCGGGAGGATCTGGGCGTGGCTGCGCGCGATCAGGCTGTGGGGCGGGCGCCGCTGCGGCCGCTGGTATAGAGAGCAAGAAGAGCACCCTCATAATGAGCATCCCGAAAAGCGAAGCCGTTTAGTAAACGAACCCAGGGAATGATGAATCGAACAGGACGGGGCTGTTGAGTAACCGTCCAGGGCCGTATAGTAAACGCCGATTATGGGAGTCGGGGTGCTTTTCCGCCTTTGACGGTGCTACAATCGAGTTCGATTGGGGAGGACACGCGAGAAGACACAAGACCCGTCCGAGAGCCACACTGCGACAGGAATCTAGAAGGCATGAATCGCTAACACACCAGAACACAGCGGTAGCCTTGATTTGGTAGGGTCGACCTGCCAATCAAGCGCGATTGTGACGGGGTGGTGGTGAGTGGGCTCGCGTAGTTGATTTCCCCGGCGCCGGGAGGCATCCATGTGGCTGATTCCGGAAAGTCTGAACCCGAACATGTTGTCATCTCTTGGGAGGTCGACTTTTGTCCCCTTTTTTCAAAGCACTGTGCCCAGTAACCTTCTGACGGGGCGCTTCGTGGTGGGCGCCGAACTGAAACCTACCGAGACCTGCGCATGTAAAATCCTGTATTCTAGACGATGGGCCCCGACGGGAGCCGCGTGGCAGAGGAGATGGGATAGCCACCGCCCCGCACCCACGCGCCCCCCGCCTCTGTTGAGGCGGCACTATGGGGGCGGCACCCGCAACTCGGGGTTTGCTAAAGGTGCCCCTGGCCCAAGATGCCCCCAGCTTTTCGCTCGAGCTTGTAACCCATGGGGTCTTTGGGCCTCGTGATGGGGTGCTCTGGAGGCCGTAGGGGCCTCCCTTGAAATCCTGGGAGCACCTTGGGCCAGGGGCACTTCTATAGGAGAAGAACAACCGCCACAAACATAAACTTTTGGCGCTCCGCGCGGATTTCGTGGATCTGTGTGCGCCAGGGGCTGCGCAGGAGGCGCCGCCAGGGGGGCCCAACGCGGATCAAAGAAATCCGCGCGGCGCGCCAAAATTTACACGTCGTTCTGTTCTAATCGTGCTCATTTCTAATTGTGCTCGTTTCTAATGGTTCCTGGCCCCCTAGTGGCCAGGAAGAGGCCCAGGATAGAACAATTAGAAATGACAGAAACTTGCCACCCCCCAGAATCAACGAACCTTCGAATAGAATACTTAGGGATGAACAACGCGTATGTTTATGGCGCTTTTTCCCCTCCGGCCCTGGCAGCACCCGAACAGCTCCCTCCGACTCTTGCCTCCGCCGGCTTCCGCTGGCGGGGCCGCCCTCGCCCCGCTTCCGCCCCCTGCTGCCGAGGGGGGGGCGGCCACGCCTCCCCGTCGGTGCTCGAAGGCGCGGCCCGCTCCTGGCCATCGCTCGGACGTTCATTTCCTGTGTTTTTTTCGGTTTCGTGCGTGGTTTTTCCGCGAAATGATCAAGGATGCTCCTCGATGGTCCTCGCCGAAGGAACAATGCACACGTCCGAGCGATGCCGAGGCTCTCTGCTGGAGCGCCCCGCGCGTCGAGGAGCGCGCGCCCAGCCGGCGGGGCCGCAGCCGGCTGCAGGCAGCAGGCTCCGTGCCCCCCCCCTTCCCCTGACAGTAGACCAGGCAAGCGTGTTCCACTGCTCGCAAAAGTAGCTGCTCGCGAAGGGCCTGGGCCCGCCGCGTGGGCTTTACGCCCAATGACTGAGAGGGAGACGTGCTGTCCTCGGACGTTTGCGAGCAGGCACTCTGCGAGTAGCGGAACGCGCTCGGTGAGTAAAGGCCTCCCAGATGGGGTCGGAACTTATGGGGTCCGAGGATCGCGCCGCACCGCCGATGCATCACCGATGCATCGGCGACGCATCCGCGTAGTCGGCGATGCATCGGCGACGACGGCGCGGAGAGCATCGGGCTCCACATCGAGCCGCATCGACGATGCATCGGCGATGCGGCACGGTCCTCTGACACCATCTGCTCCGACCCCATCTGGGAGGCCCAGATACAGTCGGACCTAGGCCAGAATAACATCCCTCGAGAGCATGAGATCCTCTGCCGGCCAAAACACAAGCAGCACATGCAAGGGTACCCTCACCAGGGTGCACAAGACCATCCAGCAAATACGCGAAGAACACGAGGGTACCCTCCCCTAAAAAACCTCGACCCTGTACTTCGGTCCGACTACACCACATGTGCTTGTTTTGCCCCCACCCCCGCCTCCTCTTCTGACGGGGTATCCTCTGTCGCTGCGACGTGGCCCACCGACGTCGCGTCCGGGCATATGCACGTGAAGCCCTCCTCTAGGGTGCAGAAAGAGGCCAGGAAAGGAGGAGGAGGAGGCTGAGGAGACAGAGGAGGAGGATGATGAGGAGGAGGAGGAGGAGGAGGAGGAGGAAAAGGAGGAGGAGGAGCAGGAGGAGGAAGAGGAACAACCGCTGGGGACGATCTCGAAGAAATGCCCCAATACTATCGTCTCTGCGTCGGCGCAGAGCCGTGGAGCATCCGGTGAAACGAGTGATGGGGCCCCTGCAGGGGAGAGTCGCCAGGGGTAGGAGGGGATCGGGGAGGAGGTTCGAAGAAGGCTTTCGCCATCCTACATGAGCTCTCTGGCATTCTGTTTCAGGGCCATGGGCCGTCGAACATCGACGCAGGGCAAACGCCAGCCAGGATTGACGGTGCAAATTTCGAAGAGGATGGGCGGGAGAAGGAGGAGGAGGAGAAGGAGGAGGGGGAGGAGGAGAGGAGGAGGAGGAGGAGGAGGAGGATGAGGAGGAGGAGGAGGAGGAGGAGGAGGAGGAGGAGGAGGAGGAGGAGGAGGAGGAGGAGGAGGAGGAGGAGGAGGAGGAGGAGAGGGAGCAGAAGGATGATGGTGAGGAGCAGGAGGAGGAAGAGGAGGGATAGGAGGGGTAGGAGGGGGCGGGAAGGGAAGGCCGACTTTCGATGATCGATCTTCTGGACGTTTTTTTTGCTTTTTGTGCCCCCTCGTCGCCATGGCTAGGCTCGCCTTGAGCATCTCGTCAGAGCTCGCCCCAGTAACGGTTGGAAGGTTGGTCTTGAGGACCAACGGAAAGCCGATGATGATGATGATGATGATGATGATGATGATGATGATGATGATGATGATGATGATGAAGAGGAGGAGGAGGAGAAGTGGGGGGAGAATGAGCAGCAGCAGGGGAATAATGAGCAGGATGATGATGATGCTGCTGCTGATGATGATGATGATGACGATGATGATCATGCTGCTGATGAGGAGGAAGGAGTGGTATAATGATGGCGATGGTGGTGATGGTGGTGATGATGTTGTTGACGATGACGACGACGGCGACGACGATGATGCTGCTGCTCATGATGAGGATGATGATGGCGACGATGGCGGCAAGGTTGGTGATGGTGGTGATGATAATGCTTATGATGACGACGATGATGACGCTGATGATGATGTTGCTCTTGTTGGTGATCATGACGATTGTGGATATGTTGGTCGTGCTGATGATGCTGATGAGGAGGATGGGGGCGGACGCGCAGAACGAGGTAGGAGCAGGACCATGCGGAGGGATGATCTCAACGCCTGTGGGGTAACAAGGTGCCCCCCCTGGTTCTCATCGGCGATGCACGCCAGAACAACAGTTACAAACCACCCAACGCTACGACCGTACATCAATTTCTTGCTTGATTGCTACGCTTTCGCCGACTTCGGGTGAGCAACGGCCGTGCTGAACACGAGGTTTTCGCCTTCGCCAAGCCAACGTTTTCGACCGACGCCGCCAGTGGATCTGTCTTGCCGCCCAGGCTGTGATACTACTTTTCAGGGAAAGCATGGCCTTCCACTTATTATTCGTCACTTCTTCTTCTTCTTCTTCACTCTTTTGCTGCTGCTGCTGCTCATTCTTCTCATCCCCTTCCGCCCCCCTCCTCTTTCTACACCTGCTCCCCCCTCCCTCCCATTTCCAGGACGTCTCCAAGCATTTCCGAACAGAAGATGAAGCACAACGACAACAACGTCCGCACAACTCATTATTCGATCCTATTCACTTCGTTTCCTCCTTTTTGCATTCCTCTTCGTTCTGAGTTTCTTCGCATCGCCGCACCACTAAGCGCGTCCGTAGGATGGGCTGGGCTGGGCGCTTCGTCTGATACTTCCTCAACGTCTAGATCTCGGAACAGTTACATGGATGGCGTGCGGGCCGTTCTCAAAGTAGCCCATCGCCTCATCGCCACGCACCTCCGTCTTCCCAGCTTGCAGCAGCAGTACGGGCTGAGGGCGAAGGGCCTTCAACGTGGGGCTCTCGCTCGAAAGCTCTAAGGCACCCGCGAGCTTACTGCCAAGCTTGTCCAACCACTGCGCGGGCGGAGGGCTTTCCCTCTGCAAGACAAGGCTCTCGCCTGAACCTTCCTGGGCCATGGCGGCCAGAAGGTCCAGACTGGCCCAGCAACTACATCGGTGGAGGTCGGCTCCTGCTCAGAATCCTGCTTTCGCTCAAGACTTCCGCGCGTTCCATTGCCGGGGGCCCAAATTTTGAACGTACGGAGGGCGGCTCCTTTTCAAAACTGGGCTTTCGCTCAACACTCTGGTGGCCTTTCTGGCCCTGCCTCTGCACGTTTCTCGGCCGGAATCCGCCACCGTGCCGCTGGCACGAAGTAGAGTGCCCCGAGGCTCATGCAGCACTGAGAGGGCTGTGCTGCTGCTGCTGCAACTCGAATTCTACGCCTCTAATAGGGCCTGGACCAGGGACGGCCCAGGCCGGCCCGGGGTCCGCCGGAATCGCTCGCGTCGGCCTACCCCGCCCAGGAGGGCCCACAAACGAGCCCAGATGGCCGCAAGAGGCCCTCAGAATGGTCCACGAGGGCCCCAAGTCGCCCCAAGATAGCTCCAAGGCGCCCAAGATGGCCTCAAAATGGTCCAATAGGCTGATTGTCCTAAACGGTTTTTGAAGGATTTTGGCATTCGTGCCTCTTCGGATTTACTACGCTCCAAGGCGGCCCAAGAATACCCCAAGACCACCCCAAGAGGTCTCCAAGAGGTCCCCAAGAGGCCTAAGAGCGCCTCAAGACGGCCCAAGATGGCCCAAGACAAAAGGGGCTCAAGAGAAGGAAGACGAACCGAACATCCGAGCCTTCCGCCCCAAGAGGCCCCCAGGAGGCCCCAAGAGGCGCCCAAGAGGATCCGAGAGGCCCCCAAGAGGCCCTCAAGAGGCCCCCAACAGACCTGAAAGAGACCCCAAGAGGCCTCGAAAGGGACCCCCAGGAGGCATCAAAATTGCCTCCAAGGGCCCTTACGAGATCCCAGTGAACATCCAATTCGCTTCAAAAACCCTCAACCCAGGGACGGTGGCGGGATGGGCCGAAGGCCATCCGATCCGCCGCCCTCTGTCGATTCTTCGCAGGGGTGCCTGGCGTGCTAGACCCTTTCGGTTTTGGTTTTGGTTCTTTTTCCAAAAGAACTCACCCTGGGGCTCCGGCCCGTCCCGCCTGCCACCCGGAAAGGTGCTCAATCCGGAAAACATCCTCCAAGATGGCTCAAGATGGTGCCAAGATGGCCACGTTGGCCCAAGATGGCCTCCAAGATGGTCCAAGATGGCCTCCAAGTCCGCCCAAGATGGTCCAAGACGGCCTCCAAGACGGCCCAAGAGAGTCCAAGACGGCCCAAGAGGCCCCCCAGAGGCCTCCCAGACGGCCCCAGAGGCCTCCAAGAGGTCCTCCAGGAGGGCCCGAAGAGGCCCAAATCATTGATTTTCCATAGGTTTTTGAAGGATTTTGGAATTTGCTTCTTCTCAGCATTCCGACGGCTCAAGACGGCCCAAGAGGCCCCCAAGATCGCCCAAGAGGCCCCCAAGAGGGCTCCATGACGGCCCATGTGGCCTCCAAGACGGCCCCAAGACGGCCCATGAGGCCTCCAACACGCCCAAGATGGCCTCCAACACGCCCAAGATGGCCTCCAAGACGGCCCCGAAGCGCCCCAAGAGGGCCCCAAATCGGCCCAGAAAGGCCTCCAAGACGGCTCCCGACGGCGTCAGACGTGCCAGGAACCCACCAAGATGGCCGAAGTTGGCTCGAAGCTGGCCCAAGACGGCCCAAGAGGCCCCCAAGAAGGCCTCCAGGAAGGCCAGAAGAGGCCAAAAACATTGTTTTTCCTAAGGTATTTGACGGATTTTGACATTTGCTTCTTTTCGGCCTTCCGACAGCCCGAGACGACCCAAGAGCCCCCAAAGATCGCCGAAAGATCGCCCAAGAGGCCTCCAAGATGGCCCCAGAACGGCCCAAGAGGGCCCCAAGACGGCCCCCAAGAGGCCTCCAAGACGGCACAGGAGGCCTTTAAGACGCCCAAGATGGCCTCCAAGACGGCCCTGAAGCATTCCAAGAGGGCCCCAAGTCGGCCCATAGAGGCCCCCCAAGCGGCTTCCGACGGCGTCAGACGGACCAGGAGCCCACCAAGACGGCCGAACATGGCCCTAAGATGGCCCAAGACGGCCCAAGATGCCTCCAAGAGGGCCTCCAGGAAGGCCCGAAAAGGCCAAAATCATTGATTTCCCATGGGTTTCTGAAGGATTGTGGCATTTGCTTTTTTTCTGCCTTCCGACGGCCCGAGACGGCCCAAGTGCCCCCAAAGATCGCCCAAGAGGCCCAAGAACGGGCCCTAAGAGGCCCCCAAGACGGCCCAAGAGGTCTCCAAGACGCTCAAGATAGCCTCCAAGACGGCCCGAGAGCCCTCCAAGACGTCCTCCAAGAAGGCCCGAAAGGGTCAGAATGGCCTCCAGACGGCCAAGATGACCTTCAAGATGCCCACGTGTTCCCCGAAGGCTTTCCAAACCGATTCGGGGAACACGTGGTCCGATAGCTTGGCAGGCCTCTGGCCACAACCTTCGGCCACATAGGCGTTTCCAAAAAGGCAGGGGGCAGCGGTGATTCGCCGTAGGCGTCTTCGTGTCCGCCGCCCCCTGTCGATTCATCGCATGGGTGCCTGGCGTGCCGGATGATATGGGTTTTGGTTTTGGTTCTTTCTCCAAAAAAACTCCTCCTGGGGCTTCGGCCCGTCCCGCTGGGGTCCCGGGAGATTGCCGAACACCTGGTTGCAAACGATTGTCCTGCCCCAGACGGCCCCAAGATGGCCCAAGATGGCTTCCAAGACGGCTAAGATGGCCCTAATATGCCTCCAAGACGGCCCAAGATGCACCCAAGACGGCCTAAGGTAGCCTGAAGATGGCCCAAGACGACCCAAGAGGCCCCCAAGAGGCCTCCAAGATGGCCCAAGAGGCCTCCAAGAGGTCCTCCAGGAAGGCCCGAAGAGGCCAACATCA